TTCTTTGGTTATGCAAACCGATTGTTGCAGCAGCTGTCCGGGTGGCTGGTCTCAGATGATCTTGGAGGTGAACATGCTGGATGTGGAGTTCCTGGGCTGGTGTGGTTACACGTGGTCTGCGGTTGTGAGGCCGGTTGTATGTCCTGCCAAATTGTCTGAAACGCCTTTGGAAACGGCTTATGGTAGAGAAATGAACATTCAATTCACGGGCAACAGCTCTGGTGGACATTCCTGCAGTCAGCATGCCAATTGCACGCTCCCTCAAAACTTGCGACATCTGTGGCATTGTGGTGTGTGATAAAACTGAACATTTTAGAGTGGCCTTTTATTGTGACCAGCCTAAGGCACACCTGTGCAATAATCATGCTGTCTAATCAGCATCTTGATATGCCACATCTCTGTGAGGTGGGATGGATTATCTCGGCAAAGGAGAAGTGCTCACTAACACAGATTTAGACAGATTTGTGAACAGTATTTGAGGGAAATGGTCTTTTGTGTGTATAGAAAATGTTTTAGATCTTTGAGTTCAGCTCATGAAAAATGGGAGCAAAAACAAAAGTGTTGCGTTTATATTTTTGTTCAGTGTATCAGTAACTTGGAGTGCTGCTGACTGGGATGGTTTTACAATAAGCAGCCCTCTGACTGGATTATCAAACACTGTAACATGTAACTCTGCATGAAAAGTCTAGTAGTAAAATGTTATTTGAAAAAGAAAATGATGACAGATTGAATCCCACAGGGTCACAGTTTACCAGATAAATCAGAAGTGGTGGATAGTAACTAAGTTCAATATTAAAGTGAACCATCCAATTATAAAATTTGTGCTTTATCTGACATGAACCATTTTGCATGGTGAATACATACTTTTGGTACACTGAGCGTATTATGCTGCTATTACTTTTGTACTTAAGTAAAATTTTTGATGCCTGTCTTTGACTTACAACACTACTTTACTGTGGTATCAGGGGGGGACTTACCATTAGGCAAAACTAGGTGGTTGCCTGGGGCCCCAAGTTTCTGAGGGCCCCATAAAACTCCTCATACACTTATGGTTAGAATTTTTACTTGAGAAAAGAGGTAGTGGTGTGCTCAAGGAGCCATGTTGTCCAAAAACTCAAAGAAAAATGCAGGTGCTCTTGAAGAAGAGGGCTCAAAATCTTACCAAGGACGAAAAAACAAACTTCAGGCACTCTTGCATGGAGCAGGGAAAGAAAAAGGGTAGCTTGATTACTTCATTAAAAGCCTTTATTTTATTATGGCTTTTACAAAGACACTTACAAACACCTTTTTAAGTGTCTTTGTACAATAAGGATTGAAAACAGGGATGAATAAAAAGATCTGGAGGGCCCCATGCCTGTCTTTGCCTTGGGTCCCAAAATGACTAAATCCGCCCCTGTGTGGTATTATTACTTTTACTTAGGTAAAAGATCTGAGTACTTCTTCCTCGACTGTAAATCACAGGGGTGAATCATTGAATATTTTAACGTCTTTGGGCTTTAAACAGTTAATGAAATTAAATAATTTAATAAGTTTAGAGCTGAAATGTCTCTTTGGTGGAACTGCTAACAATTTAGAGACTTCTGAAACATGACAAGGAGTCCCACCAGACAGTTGGAAGTGGTCAGATGCAAAAAAGATTTGGAACCACTGCTTTTATCTTTAACAATGCAGTGTCATTAACAAGCTTAAAGGGACAGTTCACCTTAAAATTAAAAATACATATTTTTCCTCTTACCTGTAGTGCTTTTTATCAGTCTAGATTGTTTTGGTGTGAGTTGTCGAGTGTCGGAGATATTGGCTGTAGAGATGTCTGCCTTCTCTCCAATATAATGGAACTAGATGGCACTCAGCTTGTGGTGCTCAAAGTAGTAGAAGCATGCATCTACTCATGGATGAGACGCTTGTGCTCCTGACAATGCAAGATGCAAACATAATGGCGTGTTCTTGAGTTGTAACGTTAGTTAGCTCAGTGGTGCTAGGTGAGAGAGCAGGAGATGCATGCTTCCTTCTGCGTAGTGATGCAGTTGGGTGGTTGTAGTTTTTTGCCAAAAGTGCCAAAAATAAATTTGAAAAATTCAACAGCAATGTCTCTTTGCAGAAATCATGACACGATTACACAAAATAATCCACAGACCTTGTTGTGAGCAGTTTCATGTAGGAACTAGCAAACTACACCCACCGACCGTACCACTGTACAGAAAGAAGCATGCATCTACTCATGGATGAGGGGCTCATGCTTGTGACAGCATGAGATGCCTCCTTGGCTGAGCTGTAACATTAGCTAGCTCAGAGTTACTAGGTGTAAGCTAGATGCACACTTCCCTCTGCGCTGTGATACGGTGGGTGTAGTTCAGTAAAACGAAAATAGTTCCTATATGAAACTGCTCACAACAAGGTCTGTGGATTATCTTGAATAACCAGGTCATGATTTCTGGAAAGAGACATTGCTGTAGAGTTTTTCAAATGTATTTTTTGGCACTTTGAGCACCACAAGCCTAGTGCCATCTCGTTGTATTATACTGAAGACAACCCAGACGTATGTATGGCTGATATCTCCAACACTGAGCAACTCACACCAAAACAATCTAGACTGATAAACAGCACTACAGGTAAGAGGAAAAATATGTATTTTTGATTTCGGGGTGAACTGTCCCTTTAATATTTTTAAAATTCTCATTCTGTAAAGTACCTGAAGCTGTCAGATATATCTAGTGGATTTAATTTCCCTCTATAATGTAGAGGAGTTGTAGTTTAAAGTAGGATAAAATGGAGGTACTCATGTTAAGTGCAAGTACCTTAAATCTTTAAGTACAGTACTTCTCCAAACTTTGAGTGGACACAAGATGATGAGGACACAGAGCATATTGTAAGACATACCACCTTTATTAAATGCACAGTATCACAAGGAACATTTCCATTAATTGTGGATAAGCTACTCACATGATGCACAAAGCATTGAATTGATTGATAGAACTGGCTGATTAAAGCAGGATTAAATCTGCCAGGAGAGCACACACACACGCATACTCACAAACACACATACGCACACTCTTGCATACAGATGCATGTGCAAACGCACACACACCACCTCGGAGACATTAGTCACACACACAAACACATACACTCTCTCTCTCTTTGTATTCACACAGTAAGTAAAATTTGTTATCTGCACAGGAATGAAAACTGTAATCTTTTTTTTTTTTTCATTTACCATATATTTACAAAAGAATCATTAACGCCCCCTCCCTCCCCCGAGATAGATTACATTCAAAAAAGGTCCCGACCCTTCTAGATTACATTCAAAATAATATACTATTCATGATGCAAAGTCACAGTTATTCATCTGAAAGAGGATCAAAATAGGCTACAGTCAGTCAGAGGTTGAGTGGTGGGGTTGGCCAGGAGGCGACCTTTGACCTCCCCGCCAGTGGCCACACGTCTGCTGGGATGCCTGTCAGCTAGGAGAGATCCTGATGTGTAATCAGATCCAGAGTCTATGGTCCTCCTACGGACAGACCGCATCTCAAACAGCCTCTGTGTAATCTCCCCATCACAGTGGAGAGGAAAGAGGAGATCGTTTCTCTTTTTCTTTTTTTTGTCTTCTTTTTTTTGTTTGTTTTTCTTCAGAGAAAAAAACACATAGTTCAAATAAAGTCCTCTGCAGATCAAAAGTTGCCAAAAAAAAGGATTGTATTCTCACTGGTATTATGAACGAGCACAAAGAAATTATACAATGTAGCACAAATAAAATCGTATTTACACGTAGTATGTATTGCCAGTGGCCCATAACACGTTGTCTTCAATAGATGTCACACAGTTTTGGACATGATACCTGCTTCAAACAGATTATACTATTAAACATAGCCTACTATTGATATAGACAATTATCAGAACTGTACAGAATGGACAGCAATTTATGTACAGCAGACACATGACTATTATACAGAACTGACAAACGCTGTAATAAAAACATAGAGGGACACTGAATCGTTTTCATCAAGGACAATGTGTCAGAGTTAGGACTTGCCTCAGTCGCTTCCAGCACAGCAACAGTGACTTTTTTTTTTTTGTTTGTTTTTTTTGTTATTAAGTGCAGTTGAGGTCAAGGCGGAGAGTGGTCAGCCGCTCAGGTTGTGCATTCGGGGGTTAAGTAACGCTACAAAGTGCACTTAACTTATTGTCTCAGCAAAGAGCCTGACTGCGTTATGCCTCCATATGGAAATACACTGTGGTTATTATGAAGGAGTCATTTCTGCTGTTTTTGCAAAGATTAATACAGAAGTTCAGACTACACACTCGGACCGACACGCTTGCTTTAATATTTTCAGCCTTTTTTGAATCTCCAAACAAGATCATTTGGAAAATAAACTACAACAATGCTTTTTAGAAGCACTTTCCAAGCAGCCTATGCACATGTGCTTTAGCGGTGCCCCAAGTGAGGAGCTGTTTTAGCCACCGCCACCCGGCTGACTGGGGCCGCTCAGAGAGATGAAAGCACCCCTGGGACACTTTAAGGGCAATCAGACTCTTAATTAATCCGTTTGCTGCGGCCTTTTAGCTTACAACGTAGAATTAAAGATTACATCCTCAAAGTACGCTCCTGTAAATGACAAACAAGTAGCAACTTCAATATGTACAAAAAATAAAGAGCTGAAAACAAATAAATCCTCAATATATTGAAACGGTAAACTGCATCAAAATGCCCCGTCAATCCCTCTTAGAAATTACAAAAAAATAAATAAATCAGATCTTCTCTAACACAATCTCATCAACAGCAACATCTGCCTCTGAAGATGCATACAAAACCACATTACTTACAGATATGGGCCACCGAACAACAAAGATTTGCTAAATGGCATTTTGCTGGTGAATGAAAAAAATAAAACAAAACTGTGCTCATCTTTTTTTTTTCCTTCTTTTTTTTGAGCTCAACACCGCCGAGTCCTCGTTCTCTGTGCTTTAGATACATCAAATGAAAAGGTTGTGAAATGAGCCGAGCACTCCAACAACGCTTTAAACACCACTTTGTAAATATAGATGACCTCGTGTGTAGATATTTACATAAAACATGACAAAAGAAACTGTAAAACGCTGTATGCCCTTGTGTTTTACAACCTCGACTTTGATTTCACATCGGGAAGTCCTTCAGCGGACTTGAGTAGATTATATATGACAGACACAGGCATCTATGAGAATCTATATGGGCTTCACACTGTTTTTATACGTATGCATGTGACAATCCACACGTATGCTTAAAATTAAAACAAGCAAATGAAATCAACAGAGTCAACATTTATAAACTCTACAAATATTAAAATAGTCTGTGACATATAAAAGAAAAAGATTCAGCTGTAATTCGATGAGTATTCTTTTTATCTTCCTGCAGAATATGTTGCTGTGTTTTGAAAGAAGCTCTATCTACAAAGTTGTGTCCATACACTGTCCATTATGGAGACACATTATTTTCCCTTTCACTCCCAGCAGATGTGGAACACAGGAGGTTATTTAATGCGATGAGCTGAGACGGAGTAACCCAATGATCAGTGTTTCTGATCATTGGGTTTTATTTATTTTTATGCCTCTCACATAAAGTTACATGATCCTGTATGCATTTTGGTTTCCATTTGTGAAACATGCCTCAGTAACAAATGGATAAGAAAGAAAAAAGAAAAGATCACTCAAATTTAAGGCTTTTCTCGATGTGACGATGAGGACACGGACGATAGCATTTACAGGAACATTTACAGCCAGGTACTGTACACAGACGCACTCACACAGTCGCACAGCCTTCATTTCCTCCTCCGCTCTCCGTCTCATCATGTGCAAACAAACACGCAGCCGCTTGTCCACGTACGAAGCCCCCAGCTCACACACATGCACGCAAGAGTACATACAAGAACACGGGGTGCATCAGCCCAGTATGTCCAGGTACACGGGCGAGGCCTTGGCGAGGCTCTGGAGCATGCTGTGGATCTCCTTGATGTTCAGCCTCATGTAGGGCTCTCTCTGCCAGCAGCCCAGCATCAGGTCGTACACCTCTTTAGGACAGGTGCGGGGCCGCTGCAGCACGCGGCCCTGGGTGATGCACTCGATCACCTGCAGGACACAGGGTGACAAAACAATGAAATCAGGTTCTCAGGAAAGCAGGTTATAATATTAGATGTGTTGAGAGAACTGAAAACAAAGATGATCTAAATATGATGATCGTGAAGTTTTTACTTTTATGCAGAAGTCTTGTTACACATCTCTTTATCCATCTCCACATAACAAAAAGGGATTTTTTGGGTTTTAATTCAGGTGGTTGCTTTTACCCCCATGAGACAAGAGCAGTCCTGGTGTTTTGGGGTTAAGGAGCTGACCATGAACCACAACTTCCCTGATTCCTGTCCCCCCTGAAATCTATACCTGACTGTTCATGTACAGAAGAACAATGAGATAAAACTAAAGGTATACTATGCGGGACGTGTTGCTAGCAAAAGTGAAAGTGAAAGCCAACCCCATATTCACTCTTATTCACTATATNNNTATATATTTTTTTTTTTTTGGCACTTTGTCCATGATTTTGGAAGCTTTCTCTTGGATGCATGCTGCTTACACTCTAGCAACTGCTCCCTACCTTTATATAGAGTTCTGACCTTGCCTGTGCACTGTGCCCAGGAACGTCTTGGACACAGCAAAGCACAGCGTAAGAAGAAAATAAGAAAATACAGTCAGAGGGTGGATAAATACACCGCCACACACTTCTAATGACTCACAAGTGACTGGTGAGTGGTTGAGAGGGATGACTTTTGTCTGAGGCTATACATTGTTTTTTTTAGGAAAACCCTACATAGAAAAAAAAAAAAAAATAATAAAAAAAAAATCTAAATTTGAGAAATGAGAAAATCTGAAGAAAGTTCAGTTTAATAAAGAAACAAAAGGTTTTAATTCGTTTTATAGTAAGCATTTAGTGATGTAATTCTATAAAGTTTGAAGAGTTAGAAGAAACTGAAAAAACAAACAAACTGAATTTCATCAAAATCCCCAAAACACTGGATACTACATTTCCCATAATGCAACCATCTTATGCCTCATTCACGTCATATCATAGCTATTGTACAAGTTTTTGACTCATGTATAGTGTTCACATCGATATCAGGTCATGATTATAACTTGGAAAGTCAGAATTTTCCAATATACAGTATGCCAGCTGGCACTTGCTGATCTAAACCTGCCTAAAAAAACAAATATATATATGTTAGTTTGCATGTTCTCCAAATGTCACCGTGGGTTTTCTCCAGGTACTCCGGCTTCCTCCCACAGTCCAAAGACATGCAGGTTAACTGGTGACTCTAAATTACCCGTAGGTGTGAATGTGAGTGTGAATGGTTGTCTGTCTCTATGTGTCAGCCCTGTGATAGGTCTGGCGACATGTCCAGGGTGTACCCTGCCTCTCGCCCAATGTCAGCTGGGATAGGCTCCAGCACCCCCATGACCCTCAAGACGATAAGCGGTTATGAAAATGGATGGATGGATGGATGGATGGATGGATATTAGTTTGGATATCACACATCTGCCAAAGACTGTTGTTTGATGTAATTTAACCCAAATTTAATAGATTTTTAAAAATCATTATTATTATTTTTTGGTACACAGTATCTAAATCCTCCTTGATGATGTCAGCATGGCATCAGTTACATCATAGCTACCTGGTTAAAAATGCTCACATCTTTCAAACTACAAGTTTTTGGGTCTGTGTCTCAGTGATAGTTGCAAAGCTGGGTCACATAAAAGTCTCTGTGTTTAAGAGTAGGTCGTCAATGTGTGTAGTATAAAGAGTCTCTAAACTCTGTGAGCATCGTCTGACTGAGTGCCAGCACTGACTAAGATAACCGTAGACCTCGTGTGACTCTGACCTCATTGTTGGAGAGCTGGTACCAGGGCTGCTTGCCATAGGTGAAGATCTCCCACAGCACCACACCGAGGCTCCACACATCACTCTCTGTGGTGAACCGCCGGTACATGATGCTCTCTGGGGGCATCCAGCGGATTGGGAGCATCGTATGACCGCCCACCTGCAGAGAGAGAGACAGACAGAGGGAGAGACTGACTGACTGAATCTACTTTATTGGGATATTTTTAGCCACACTTTGATGCAGCACTTTGGACTGTAATGACGGTTTATTGTTTCTCCACTTTGGTCCAGACTGAAATATTTGAAACAGTATTGAATGTATTGCCATAAAATTTGGTACAGACTGTCTAGTTTTTTGTTTACTTTAGCTGCTCATATCCCGCAGGACATGTTCTTTCCTCTAACTCCCGAGACCTGCCATCCTAAAGCCACCTACTAGATGCCCTCAGACTTTCTTGCCAGTCCCGGGGCGTGTTCAGGTTTCCAGGTTGAAAGAAATGGTGTGCAAGAGACTCTGAAGTATGTTCTCTCTTGTTTGGTGGGTGTGTCAGAGGTGTTACCCAATCAGCAGCAACGTGTACATATATTAATGTCTAGTAGATCTTTACTTATTGTACGACCCACCCTACTCTGCCCTACTCTACCTCTACTTGGCTTACCTGATATTCTTACTCTAACCCTAACCTATCTCACTCCTCATGCTTAAACCTAACCAATCCAACTAATGAAAGCAACCAGCACTAGCCAATCAGAGCCAATCAATCATGCTAAACTAAGATGGGGAACATTACACCTGCTAAACATCAGCATGTCAACATTTAGCATTTTTCTCAAAGCATTGCTGTGCCTAAGGACAACCCATCATACAGAGCAGTGTTCCTGTTACGTAGCCCACCCTTACTGATTTAAATTGGGTGGAAAAAATAATAGAAACACCTGTCATTACAACAACACAATTCAACAAGGCTGCAAATTGCATTGTCCAAAATGATGGACAGAAAAACAGCTTAAACAAAAACTGAACATTACAGCCTTTATGGGCTGCTGCATTAGACTACATTCGTTTTAGCCCGGTGTACCTAATTAACTGGCAAGTGAGTGTATTTTTTTTTTAATAGTGAGCAATCGCGTTTAGTCACTCTGGCATTCCTGTAACATGCCGGTTATTGCATCAAAACCTTTTATCCAACCAGAGTCTTCCTGTCTTCTTCCATCAGATATTTCCTGTCTACTAAATGCATTTCCTTCTCTCACTGTCTCCTCTTTTATCTAATCACCATCCTTTCACGCTCATCCTCTCACCTACATAAACTCACACTCACCAGCATATATGATACTTCTCATGCCTGGCAGATCAACAATGGTGCACAAATGTAATTCTATATATTATATATATATTTTTTTGTTTTGTTTTATTCACCATTAAACTAAACATTAAGCCACGTCATCCTCTAAATGTGAGCTTTATTCAGTTATATTCTTGGTTGATCTGATTTATTGCATCACATGATTTTCTTTGATTTGCTAATTGAAAGCAGCATTACAGCGGATGAGGCAGTCATACTGTTAGCTGCGTTCATGCTCTGTCTTTTCATATGATAAAAACGTTTGATATCGGGAACTGGTGACAGGCCGTCTTTATGGTGATCATATCTGATGCAGGAAAATGCATCACAGAGATGATGTTTTTTGTGTGTTTAGATATCTGACTCCACTTTAGACAGCAGAGGGCACTGTGGGATTCAAGCTGGGATCAGAGACTGAGAGGATGAGGGAGTAAAATACATCCGTTACTCAATATGATAATTTTTATTCTTTTTAAAAAATTGTATTGTATTGTAGTATTAGGTTCTTATAACAAAGAGTTATCCTGTCACGACCGTCAGTGGGTCAGAAAATATACTGCACCATAGTTTAATATGTTGCTGTTCATATTAACTCCTTGCCCAGGGAAAAGGAAAAACTGCTGATGCATTTTTGCACTGTTGGCCCTTATTACCATGGAAACAGTAATTTTATGCAGATTATAGAATTTGCATTTAAATGGTATTAAAAATAGATAAAATACCTCTGGTTAAAATTGTCATTTCTGCAGCTACACAGTTATTTCAGGCCAAAACTGGAATAAAATTCTAATTACATATTTGAGACTGTGCGTATGTGGCTACATTTCCATATTTCTGTATACATATACATCAGAGGGTTGTGAGTGCGTGTGTGTGTGTGTGTGTGTGTAAGAGAGACTAGGGGCAGGACAAGGTGAGAAAAAAAGGGTAATAAAAATACACGGGACTCACTCTGTAGTAGTCTGTGCTGTAAACGTCTCTGGACATGCCAAAGTCTCCTATCTTGACCAGCAGGTTTTCTCCTACCAAGCAGTTCCTGGTTGCCAAGTCTCTGTGGACAAAGTGTTGGGAGGCCAGGTAGACCATGCCAGCAGCAATCTGTTGGGCAATGTGCAGCATCTGGGACTGGGTGAGCTCCACCAGGATACTGTGTTGACCGTCTGCCATTAGCACTGCATCAGGACCGTGGGACCTGCACCCAGAAACACTTCATCAGAGCTTCTGACAGTTGTACCACTGTATAGTTCAGAAAATATAAGGCCAAACATTGAATAGTGACATCGGAATGGCTGGAAGCTCTTCATATTTTGCTCCAAAAATGACAAACAATTATCAAAATTGTTGCAGGTTAATTTTCTGTTGATCTGATGAAGATTTTCCTCATACTGTCTGTGCTGGAACATCCATTCACCTTCTGTCTGAGACAACTCAGACTGGTCAGGGTCTCCAGGTCATCCATATCTCTACGTCTCTACACTGCTATTGCAGCCAGGGAATGATTGTTTCATAGTATGGCTGCACTTTCTACTATGAAAAATGACCAGTAACAGCTTCTTAACCAAAATCTTCACAACTGGACATGTTCGAGCAGAAACATGATCTGAAATCATGGAGACATTAACAACATCAGCAACAAAGATTCTTACTACTGTAGTTTTCCTGATGTACTTTTGCGCCCTCAAATTAGTTGTTTTTAATGTACGCTTGTGTTCCTGAGCGCCCATTTTTCAGGGCACGACAGCTTTGTTGTGAGATAAAGTTCGTTGTGAGTTCAACCTTTGGAGCACAACAGCATGCACCACATGTCATGTGATGAGGAACAACCAATCACATGACATGTGGTGCATGTCATGTGATGAGGAACAACCAATCACAACTGCCAGATATCTTTCCCGTCTACTGTAAATATCAGTCTGTGCTAAATATGGAAAAGTTGATCATTTTGGTGCAGGGCTGCCAGAGCTTGACATCTGTCCCACAGACGAAATGCCCACACACTTATTAACAGCGTCTGAAAGAAGATCAGCTCTGCACTCAGGATTTCAGGTAAATAGGCTTTGATACAGTGCTTGTTAAGGTTGCTTAGCGACCTCAGACGCAAGCTGCCACCACGTTCTTGAAAACTGGTTCGAAAAAGGCACAAAAGTAGCGCCCAGCACCCAACCTCATGATTTCCAGTTGGTTAAAGAAGGGGCATCTGTACGGCCCCTTACACAGTAAAGTGGCAGTTTCCACTGTGAAAATCCCTAGTAAAAGCTTCTAAACCAAAATCTTCACAACTGGATGTGTTTGAGCAGGAACATGATCTGAAATCATGGAGAAATTAACAATATCAGCAACCAAGATCAGTTTCCCCAATGTTAGCATGCAGCTACATGTAGCATTGTGCTTGCAGCTAAGAAATTACTGTAATAGAATATAGCCACATTTTTTACCATGAAAAATTACCATTAAAAGCTTCACAACAAAATGTTTAAAAAGCAGACAGGTTCAAGTAGGAATATGATATGAAATTGTGGAGAAATCAACGACATCAGCAACAAAGATTACTGGTTTCCCTGATGTTAACATGTAGCTACATGTAGCACTGTGCTTGCAGCCGAGAAATGACTGTAATGGAGCAAAATGACACTTTCTAAGATGAAAAATGACCATTAAAATCTTCAAAACTAAAATCTTCACAACTGGAAAATGTTGTTACAGGAATATGATCTGAAATTGGGGAAAAATTAACAACATCGTCAAGCATGGTTATATATCTCCCTAACGTTATGATGCATGTAGCTACATGTAACAGTGTGGGCCATATAATGTAAACACTTGCAGTACCACACCTCTAGCAGCTGAACATGTAAAGAAACCTGTAGAAAAGAGCATTGGAAATAAAGTATGCAGAATGGTTCAAAGCCTGACCATTAAAAGCTTCTGAACCAAAATCCTCACAACCATACATGTTTGAGCAAAAATATCATCTGAAATTGGGGAGGCATTCACAACATCAGCAACAAAGATGATTGATTTTCCCGATGTTAGCTTGTGGCTACACGTAGCAGTGTACTTCCAGCCAGGGAGTGTCTGTTACAGAGTAAAGCGGCACTTTTCTACCATCTTTACAACTGGATGCGCTTGAGCAGGATTTTTATCTGAAGTTGTGGATAAATTAACAACATCAGCGACCAAGATTACTGGTTTCTCCAATGTTAGCATGCAGCTACATGTACCAGTGTGCTTGCAGTTGGGGAATGATTGTAATGCAGTATAGCGGTACTCTCTACAATGAAAAAATGACCATTAATTGCTTCTAAACCAAAACCTTGACAACTGGACGTACCAACAGGAATACGATCTGATATTGGGGAGAAATTAGAAACATCAGTGACAAACATTACTAGTTTCCCTGATGTTAGCATGTAGCTACATGAAGCAGTGTATTTGCTGCCGGGGAATGACTGTAATGGAGTATAGCAGCACTTTCCATGAAAAATGACCATTAAAAGCTTCTAAACCAAAATCTTTGCAACCTGAAAATGTTCCAGCAGGAATATGATCAGAAACTGGGGAGAAATTAACAACATCATCAAGCATGATTATGTTTCTATAACGTTATGACACATATAGCTAAATATACTTATTTGCTTTCTTGCTTAGAGTTAGGTGAGTAGATCAATATCACTCACATGTCTGTACATGTATACATGAATACAAAGCTAGTGTCAGGAGACAGTTAGCTTAGCTTAGTATTAAAACCTGAAACAGGGGTAAACAGCTGACACTAGCCTGGCTCTATCCAAAAAAATACCCAACCAAAATCCACCTACCAGCTCCTTTTAAAGCTAACATGATAAATCATGTTTGGTTAATCTGCATAGTAACCAAAGTGTAAAGACAACAGGTTGTGGTTTTATGGTGGATTATGTGCTGGACTATTTCTTGGCCAAGAGCAGTGACTTCCTGGAGTCTGCGCTGGTTGCCTAGCAACTTCATGGTGATGACAGGACTCCTAGGACTTTTCTAGGAGATTGGCATGACCCGCCCTATTCTGTCTCACTCGGCAGAGTGAGATTGGTTTACCCTAATCCTAACCAATCCCACTCCTCTTGCAGAAACCTAACTAACTCAACCAACGAAGGCAACGAGGACTAGCCAATCAGAAGGACAGTAGGGCAGGTCATGCAGTCTCTATTTTAGGAAATGCAAATTTCCCATCAGGAAGTCACTGCCACCAGCAAATAGTCCGTCATTTCACCATATAACCACAACTTTGTACCCTCTCTGTTTACTTTAACAAACAAGATAAAAAGTGTTATTTAGTGACTTTTATAGGTGCGCGTAAACTGTTTTTCCTTAATCTTTGTACAGAGCCAGGCATGCTGTTTCCAGTCTTAATGCTAAGCTAAACTAATCTGCTGCTGGCGATAACCTCATATTGAACGTACAGACATGACAGTGGCATCGATCTTCTTGTCTAACTCTCAGCAAGACAGCAAACATGTTCATATCTCTTCCAGGTCATCATTTTTAAAAGTCAAAATGATCCTACCTGAGAAACTTGTTTAGGTCACCATGTTTCATGTATTCAAACACCATGATGAGCGGGTCGCTCTCCACACACACCCCGTAGAAAGTGACAATGTGTTCATGTTGCAGGTTGGTGAGGAGCTCTGCCTCTCTGTAGAAGTCTGCTCGGCCGCTCTCGTTGGCCTCTTTCAGAGTCTGACAAAAAGGCAAAGACAAGGTGAGGAGCATTATCTACAAGAACGTACATCTAGTCAATAGAATTCACTAACCATATGATAAGTGCATTGCTTAGTTGAGGGAACGTCTTCTTGATCCGTACCTTGACTGCCACATGGAGTTTCTCCTGGTCTGGTGTGAGGTTGTAGCACTCGGCGAGAAACACCTTCCCAAAGGCTCCCTCTCCGAGCTCCCGCTTCAGCACAATGTTGTGTCTCTTGATGTGCTGGACAACTTTAATGCAGAATAAGACAAATTAGATCAAGGTCATGAGTGCGTCTTGATTATTCAGTGGGAATTTTTGTGATTTTTAGTCAGAAATATATCAAAGTTATACAGGTCAAATTGGATCAAGACTGCAACTAGGTTACAAAATATTTTCATTGTAGATTTGTTTGACTCTGCAATGAATAAATTAGTCTGTAAAATATCAGGAAATAGTAAAAAATGTTCAATTCACTATAATATCAAATAGACAAAGCTGCAAATCTACACATTTAAAAAGCTAGAAAAGCAAACGCATCATCCTTGCTTGATAAATGATCTAAACAGTTATCAAAATTGTTGATGGTTAGTTTTCAGATTCAGCCCTTCTTAATATTTCTAAAAATCATGATAAACCACATCGTCTAAGAAAAAACAACAACATTCAGGTTCATTCTGCTGAGTTAAGCCTTTTGTAAACAAGCTTGTTTTTCTGATCATCATCTAAGCATCCAGTCGTCCCACAGAGCAGGAGTCACTATCACAATGCAGCAGGATGCTGACAATAAATATGGAGTCCGGCTGTGACCCCTGCATGGATTTATCAGAAAAGGTCCGGGTTACCGGCCATTTGTCGAGCGAGGCGGTAACTCACACGTGTCAGATTTCAGCATGCTGCCCGAGTTACGGAAGTACTGTGGGTTCTCAATGACAGGGATCTTTGTCATCCCAATGATCACTGCGTCTGGACCCATCTCCGAGGACGACGGGGTGTTGTTGCCATTGGAGACATGATGAAGAGGGCTGGCAGAGTCATCGTCATTACTGATGACTGAGGAGGAGCCTAGGGAGCCACAGAGGAGGAGGTGGAGAGGAAAGCGAAGCAGGAGAGTGAAGAGTAAAGGATGGAGAGCGGCGGAGAAGAAAGAAAATTGTGGTCATAAAGGAGGAGGAGAATGAGGAGGGTTGGAGGGAGAAAAGACAGAGAAGGACTTGTAAATATAAGTTGTAAATTAAAAAAAAAAAAGATGACAAAAAGGTATCAGAAGATCAGAGGCAGATGACTCACAAATTCCGGTAGTCATGTTTGTACTGTTCCAGTGAAAATGAGCTCGAGTCAACAGTAAGAGTTTATTTTAACCACCCAAAATGTGGTTGTGAGCAAAAGTAAATACATTTTAAGTGTATCCATAATGGTGTATATACAGGTACTGATTAATTATATGTTATCATGAGTTTTGACCACATTTATAAACACCTCCCTGTCAGTGTTTTGTACAGGTGTATAAACAGTACATAAATGCTTTAAAAAACACTGTAAGTATTTGTGTATGTGTGTTATCACACAGCTATATTATACAATGTTATTAAATACACTGGTTATAGATTCTTCATAAGTGGAATTTAAAAAAAAAAAACCCCGTTAAAATATATGCAGCAAAATAAATTAATCTTGAAAATATCCATTTATAAAACTACAACCTGCTACATTATGGTTTATTATAAACCCTTTATTACCTGTTTATATACTGCTGATTTTAAGGTCATATAAAATAAAAAAGGAATAGTTCAACATTTTGGGAAAATTTGTGTATATGCTCTTTTGCCAATAGTTAGATCTCAATCTCAAACTGTGGGGTAGGCCCCACAGTTTGAGATTGAGGAGGAAAATATGACTGAAACCAAGTTGACTGAATATGATTTATGTCCGAAAAATAAATAAACAAGAGTTTCCTGATGCCACCATGCTGACCTTTAATTCACTGACAGAGCCGAGCCAGCGTTTGCGGTCCTCGTGCTAAGCTAAGCTAATCAGACACGTGTGAGGTTGTCTCATCAAACCGTAGATAAGTGCATTTCCCAAAATGCTGAAGTAATACAAAATAGTACGACAACTAGCCCACCTTTAATACCAAACTTGGAGTTTCTTCCATATTTCAGGATGATCACCATCAGAACGCAGCCAGTCAAAGCAACTCCTGCAATTCCCACGACGACATACACCTGGGGAAGTCAAGCAAAATGTTTTTGAAACAAAATTGTCACCCAAAAAAACATCTGGCATCTTTTTAGATCAGTGGGTCCCAACATGGGGAGATTATTTACATGACAGGGAGGCGGACAAATATTTATGTTACATGTTTGAGCTTTAAAACATAATTCAAACAAAACGGTGACGGAGGGTAACAAGTAAACATTTGTATTGAGGGGTCACGAGCCAAAAGGACAGGAAGCTTTACATGGTGAAAACTGATGAGGATCACTTACCGCGACACTGTCATCCAGCGGAGGGAGCGGAGGGTCTGAAAAAATGTAAACATTTGTCAGAACATTTGATAAATAATGACTATTGACTTTGTAATGCTGACTGATAAGTGTCATGTTAATGTGTGACACCTACCAGTGGTGTCTGGGCAGAGACAAGTTGCAGGTGGAGGCCATAGGAGGAGAAACACATCATGGAAGGGTTACAGTTATTATCAAGCCAGCAAATATAAGCATAAGTTTTATAGAGTTGAATCATTACTTACAGTAGTAGTCTTCTGCTAAAAGAAAGAAAAAAATCTGTGTGTTAGTTGAACTTCATTTACAGAATTGTGCTGACTTATTCCTGAATGTTCTCTACTGTAACATGCACCTGTATGGTCAATGTCAGGCGGGTCGAGGAACAGGGCGGAGACCTTCTTCTCGTCCTCTCCTTATTTATTCTTCGCCACCAGCCTGTACTCGCCGTTGTGGATGTGCGTGGGGTTGACCAGCTGCAGGCAGCCGTGGTACTCGCTCTCGGTGGACACGTGGATCCTGGTGTGGATGTAGTCCTGCTCCTGGAGAGCCACGTTCCCGAGGTACCACTGCAGATCGGGCTTGGGGTTCCCCGTCACGCTGAAGGGGATGCACCAGTGGTGGTCCCGCTCTGGCCCCAGCAGCTGCTGGATTGTGGGGGCAACTGACACGGAGGCAACAGTAGAGGAAGAGTAATAACGGGGTGATAGGAAATCAAACACCAGGAGTACAAGCCAGTAGGAAAAGCAACATTTATGGGGCTTAGAGAGGAGATGCAGCCGGGGGTGGGTGAAAAGAGAAGAGAGACTGATGACACAACATTTAAACGCTGACATCGGGGAAACGTGAAAGAGGAGAATGAGGAGAAATGTGGCACTAAACAAGCAGAGGAGTGTGGTAAGGCATGAGGAGCTTCACAGGAGGAAGAGTTATGGACAGGAAACATGGAGAGTCAATAAGATTTGCCAAGAGACAGTAATGAGAACTAACTGAGGAGCCTTGTGCTTCCACGGGAAAAACAAAAACAAGCATTTAAAAGATCATGAGAGAAATGTACTGATAGTAAATATAATTCCTACACATGTGTGCTACAGTTTAACATTTACAGTCAACAATAAGAGAAGTCCTTACAGAGAATATTGAGCTGCAGGGTGGCCTCCGTCTGACCGACCATGTTCTCAGCGCTGCATATGATCACCTTGCCATTATCGTCAGAAGACAGCTCTGACAAGGTGAGGCTGCTCTCCGTATCAGAGGGCTCAATCTGTAAATACAGCATTATTATTTGCATCGTGTGTCCTACAGCAGAGGCTCTTGACTGTTTTTCAGCTGAGGACCCCTTACAAGATAAAGAATATACCAGGGGCCCCCCTCATGTATGTCTCTCTATAAACACCTCTATAGTCTTAATTATGTGGAAAACCAACACAAGAGAAATATATTAGAAAGATATTAGATATGTATTTAAAATATTTGCACCATTTCAACTAGAACTGGGCAAGATGTCGTCTTAGATTTTGGATATTGGAATATCAGAAGTATCATTTCCTGGTTTTAAAGGCGTCATTACATTCCAGTGATGTGATTTTCTGAACTTACCAGACTCTTGTAGTTGTTCTATTATTTACCTTTAACCACTTAGTCATTATATCCACATTACTGATCATTATTTGTTTTTAAATCTAACTGTGTAAATATTTTGTGAAGGCACCAATAGTTAACCCAACAATATTATTGATATCGAAGTATTAGACAAAAACATCATATTTGATTTTCTCTGCCAAGCCTTAAACTCAACACAGAATACCCCTGCAACAATGCAACTGATGTCAATAAAATAAGGCAAATCAAGAGAAAAGGGCGAATGTGCATTTTAAACACTTCAAAGTGTTTCATTCTTAGTGCATACATAGAATAAATAAATCACAGATGACAGATGATTTAAAATAATATATAATTTGTTAGATTACAGCATAATCTATGTACTATTTTAGATTTAAAAATTAAAGTGATGCAATTACAAAACATGGCTTAAGCCTGACATTTCATTTACAGAGAAGTGGTATTATATCACCTATGAAATCTTTGTAATGCAAAAAATAACCTTCTCAGTGTGGCTGCAGGAAATTCATTTTGAGGAAATTTGGAAGAAGTGAAAAACGTATATTTTCCTGAAACACAGTTCTTTTGTTTAAATTTGTTTATTCAACTTTTTTCTATTATTATTTGTATTTATTTATCTTAAATGTAAAACAGCTCATCCTCTGCTATGTGTTTGTGTTTCATAATTATATTGGGAAAAAAAATGAAAAAAAGAGTCTCTGTAAAAATGCCTCAATAAAGACGATTGTGTGAACTGTTGCTATTAAGTAATACCAAATAAAGGAAATATGTAAAAACAAAATTTGAAAATTATTCGTTTAAACTGTAAAGCTAACTATGAAATTAAAAAAATATATGCATTTTATATCATGATCATGACCCTCTGGCAGAGTTCCACAGCCCCCACTGTAAGAAACACTGTCCTACAGTGTGTATATTAAACTGTACAATAACCAGTTATAACTTCCTGCTACAACAGGCTGACTGCACAGTACATACCACAGCAGTTGCAACACATCAACATCAGTTGCACCTGAAGATAAGGCTAGTCACATTCTCTATTCGTCTTATTATCAACAGATCCTATGAAAAGAACAAGAACAACAACGGGTTTGTCCATCTCTCAACTTCCCCACTTCCCTCCTCTGTGGTGACACTCAGCCCAGTGTCCATTAGCTCCTGGTGATGATGTAAATCTTCACCAGGAACCAATATGTCCAGTTGAGTACAAACATATAGTCTGATTTATTTCAATTGTCACTTATGTGGTTCTAATATTTGTTGACAACAACAGAGCTCTATGAAAATAAGGATACACTACATAGGCTTTTTTGTAGGGTTCAGATGGGTATTGAGTTTGAATCTTTTCATTAGATTTGCTGGTGATTCGAAAAGTCCAAGTCTCACATCTATAGCCCTATCATGACCTTCATGCCATCACAGAGGTAGCTTTCAAACTCCACAGGAGCTCATCACATAAGTATGTTCTCATGTGGTTTACTCCTCTTAAAGAGTAAAACCTTTAAAAAAAAAAAAAAAATATCATGAGCCCAGAGTGGTGACGCCCTACGCCCCTAGGTGTGGTAGCCCAGCTCACCTTGTGCGAGGTAGCGAGCCAATCCAAGTTCCACACAATCTCAGGAGGAGGCGAGCCCGAGGCTTTGCACACAGCTTTGGCATTACTCCCCTTCATCGCCGTCACGGTGTTTGGTGTGACCTCTACACTGGGAACCACTGCGAGAAATGAGCAAATAGCTAAATTAAACATCCGACCAGAACTTCAGATAGATTTGTTTACAGTTTCATTTCCGCCTTTCCTGTCTCCATGAAGGGATCATCTCTCTCTACCCGTTCAATATCACATACCCCAGCGTTGCTTATTATAACATGGTTTCACATTACCACAGTCTGGTGGAGTGAGCGTGGCAAAAGCCTTCGGCACTTCTCTTTCGTCTATGCACTTCAGGTCTTGACTGTCTGGATCTTCTAGGAGCCTCAGTTTGATCCACATGTTCTCGCAAACACAATCCAGAGGGTTACCGGACAGCAGGAGCCTGGATGATAAAAACGAAGTACATGTGAAACTCCCTGGTCGAAAGCACAACACAAAAAAAGATGCTTTTGTGCACACTCACGGCAAAGTTGAGTTAAAGTTCTGAAATGTTCTCCAAGACAGTGTTGATAGGTTGTTGTCTCTGAGATTTCTAAAAGGGAACAAAAACAGCAATCAAAATCCAAACTCACGCACACACACCGACACAACTAAAGAGGTCTTTAAAATGCTTCTTACACATATTGGAGTCTTGTGTTGTTGAAAAACGCATCTGCTGATATAGACGTCAATCTTGTCCTCATCACTGTTCTGTTGGAAGTTAAAACATAAACTCATCAGGTCATCTACAGAACATAAGAGTCTGATATGAGAACATACTGTGTGATACTTACAGGTTTCTGAGGTTTATGTAGTGCCTCAGACTGTTGTCGTTGATGTCAAACAGTCTGTTCTGATTGGTAATGTATCTGTGGAAGAACAGCAAAGAGAAAACTGTCATGACACATGTGCACACAGTTTGGAGCCAGAGGTGTTGGCAAAGCTAAGAAGCTGTGGTGGTCGGCTCAATAACCTGATCTGAAATATGTGTGAGATGTTGTACACAGTGACGATGCCAGTGTGAAACAAGAGAATCAGTTGTGTTTGTGTGTGTTTCAGGAACCTAAATAACATGACAGTGTTTTTTTGTTTTTTTCATTTTGTAGCTAAATGTGATCTATACTGCCCACACAGCTGTCATTTTCCTTTACTGAGGGAATTTGCTCTGCAGCACATTTGATTGTCAATATAATGTGAAGCACAACAGCATGCCACACACTGGCAGTGTGCTGAGTGACAGTTGTTATATTTTGTTGCTGATATTGTTAATGTTTGCTCTATTTATTAATGTGAATTTACAAAAAAAAAATGGATTTTAGTCAAGATCAAAATATACCCTTTATATGGCCTTATGATGCCACTTCCTACAACTTTTTGATAAAATCTCACCACTAAAATGTATCGTAAAATATCAAATAAGTATGCTTTTTTTTTTTA